TGGGTAGCTTCAGCAACTCCCCAGACCTGACAATTGCTAGCGCTGGTTTGATCAATAGCATCTCATGGCGACCTATGCAAACACTAGCATCAGACCATCTACCCATAATCATCTTGATCAATAAGCTCACCGACTTGGCTCCCGCGGACCACCGAACCTACACCAACTTCAACAAAGCTGATTGGGACGGCTTCCCGGAAGTCACCGAGAGCAGCTTCTCCGCCCTTCCCACACCCACAAACACACATACTGGCGAACGCCAGTTCCGCAGGATAGTCACTGCCGCAGCGGCTCGCTTCATCCCGTCCGGACGTATCGCGGAAGTCCGCCCAAATTTCCCGGCCGAAGCAGCTGTACTAGCAAATAAGCGTGACCACCTACGCTGGGTCGACCCCGGGGACCCCGTCTGAGGGACCTTAATTTGGAGATTCGGCAACTGGTAAATCAGCATAAGCGGAAAAATTGTAGGAGCACTTGAAGGCCTGTAACTTCAAGCTCTGCTCAACCGTGAGGTCCCTGTCCAACCCAACAAAGCGTGATGACAGAGTGGAAATCTCTTTCGAAGGTCGCGCTTCGTCGGACCCGAAGAAATGAGCAGCCTACTTTAGTAGGCAATTCACACTGCAACCTTCGGTAGACAAGGCCAAACGTCGAGTGACCAGGAGGCTGCACAGCTGCTAAAAAACAGTGCACCACTTGTTTTCACCAGCTGTGAAGTGAAGGGGGCCATCGGGAAGGCGAAAGCCATTGAAGCCGACGGAATCTATGTATATGCTGATGCTAAAACATTTAGGGCCTAAGGGAGTAGCTTACCTGACGGAGGTCCTCAACCTGTCCATGGCCACTCTCATCATTCCTGGTGTGTGGAAATCAGGGAGAGTGGTCCCACTGCTGAAACCGGGGAAGCCCGCCAACAAAGGATACTCTTATCGCCCGATAACGATGATTTCCCCGGCCGCGAAGACGCTTGAGGCCCTACTACTCCCATACTTCACTTGCCACCTGACCCCAGCGAAGCACCAACACGGATTCCGTAAAGTGCACAGCACAACAACAGCACTTAACGCCATAAACACCCAAATAACTCGTGGCCTAAATCGAAACCGCCCCTGTGAGAGAACGGTCCTAGTAGCGCTGGAATTGTCAAAGGCGTTTGACACCATCTGCCATTCCACGCTACTAGAAGACATCGAGGCCTCCTCACTCCCACAGGGACTGAAGCGCTGGTCGGCGAATTATATGAGTGGTCGACAGTCGTCAGTAATCTTCCGAGATCAAACCTCGAAACCAAGAAGGATCAAACAAGGGGTTCCAAAAGGTGGTGTTCTCTCACCCTTACTATTTAAATTATACATCTCGAAGCTTCCTCAACCACATGTGGGAGTTTCCCTGATCTCATACGCTGACGGTTTCTCGATTTTGGCGTCCGGGAATGGAATTGATGACCTCTGCTCAAAAGTGAACGAATATCTCTCCAGCCTTTCTCGCTTCTTCACTGCAAGGAGCCTAACACTCTCGCCAACGAAATCAACGGCGACTCTCTTCACCATCTGGGCGAAGGTGGTCAGGCTAGAGCTAGGCATACACGTCGATGGCACACCAATACCGATCGTAAACAACCCGAAAATTTTAGGGGCCACACTCAATAGCCTGCTCTCCTACTCCACGCACACAACCGCAGTTGTCAATAAAGTACAGAGCCGCAACAAGGTCCTCAAGTCGCTCGCCGGCAGCACTTGGGGCAAAGACAAAGAAACGTCGCTGGCAACATACAAGGCAATTGGCCGGCCGGTTCTAAACTATGCTGCTCCAGTTTGGACGCTGGGGACTAGTTGGACGCAGTGGACGAAGCTACAGACTTGTCAGAACGCCGCACTACGGGCAGCGACTGGGTGCCTTCTGATGACGCCTGACGACCACCTGCACAGCGAAGCCCAAGTGCTCCAAGTAAGGGAACACAACAAAATGCTCTGTAAGCAATTTCTGATGGGGTGTCACAGAAGTGAACACCGCTGCTTCAGGAGGAGCCTCCGCCCAGGCACGTCAGGGGGCACCTATTCGTGTACAAGGACGCAGTCCAACAGTACTTAGACCAACCACTGAACCCGACGACATACAGACGAGCCATCAACGACATTCATAGAGGGTCAGTTACCACCTAACTCGACTCTCGACCTATGAATGCCGTAATAGGAGCCCAAGAAGAGACGGAGCTTCAACTGCCAAGAGAGACCCGCGTTACCCTGGCTCAATTACGGTCTGGATACTGTAGCCGCCTCAACAGCTACCTGTCCAGACTCGACCCCAATATTCTCAATGAGTGCCCGGCATGGGGAGAATCCCCCACGACACCAACCACCTCTTCACGAGCCAGCTCAATCCGACTCAGCTTATACCCCTCTCCCTCTGGTCCGAACCCATTGAAACAGCTCGTTTCCTGGGCCTCCCGTTAGTTAAGCTTCACGAAAATGATTGAACATAGACCCGAAAAAGTAGTGCCGCTACAACAACAACAACAACAACGAAAAATTGTAGTTGAAAAGGTAAGTTTATGAAAAGGCATTGATGAGTGGCAACGCTGTAGTAAGCAACACTGAGGGCTCCAGTAATCGAAAAAATTTTGCATATACAGACTGCCTTTAAGTATACATTCTGCGTTCTGGACTAATTTCACCTTAAGTTTCTAATGCCTTTACTGCCTGTATGCAGCTCTCAAGAAAAGCAAAAACTCCATATAAAATGACGTACAAGAAATGGCTAAGAAATTTTCTTGAGTCAACATTCTTTAAAGGCCTTTATGCAGCTCTCCAGAAAAGCAAAAATCTCCATATAAAATGACGTGCAAGAAATGGCTAAGGAATTTTCTTGAGTAAAAATTCCTTAAGGCAGTACGCAGTTCTTAAGAAATCTACTACGGTTTTCTGAAGTTTCTTGTGAAAAAAGAGCAAAGGCAACCCAAGTTTGCAACAGAAATATATGCCCGTTCCATTAATTCTTGAGGAAAGAGTGAGGCAACAGGCTGTGAAGTATCAAAAATGTCAAAATTCCTTGGACACACACGCGAAATAATGGCAATTTTTTATTGACAGTTTTCTTGAGAGCTGCATACAGGGCTTAAGGCAGTACGCAGTTCTTCAGGAATTTTTACGATTTCTACTACGGTTTTCTAAAATTTTTTGTGAAAAAAGAGCATAAGGCAACCCAGGTTTGCAACAGAAATATATGCCCGTTCCATTATTTCTTGAGGAAAGAGTGAGGCAACAGGCTATGAAGTATCAAATATCTCAAAATTCCTTGGACACACCCACGAAATAATGTCAAATTTTTCTTGACCGTTTTCTGAGAGCTGCATACAGGGCATAAGCCAGTACGCAGTTCCTGAGGAATTTGCTACGCTTTCTACTACACTTTTCTAAAGTTTTTTGTGAAAAAAGAACACCAGGCAACCCATGTTTGCAAAAGAGATATATGCCTGTTCCATTATTTTTCGTGGAAAGAGTGAGGCAACAGGCTGTGAAGTATCGAAAATGTCAAAATTCCTTCGGCACACACGAAATAATGGCAATTTTCTCTTGACCGTTTTCTTGAAAGCTGCATACACCGAATTAAGGAAATTTGACTCAAGAAATTTTCTTACCCATTTCTTGTACGTCATTTGATATGGAGTTTTTGCTTTTCTTGGGAGCTGCATACAGGCCTTAAGTCAAGTGACGTCTAACCGTGAATATCGTGAGGAATGTGGAACGAACTCATGAACCAAAAATACAAGATCACGTAAGAACGCGACGTTGTACTTTTAACTGGTTTTAAGAAAAAAGTTTGCGAAAGCGGGTTCGTCAGCTGAGCGTTTGTTTACATCACAAGCACAACTATTTTACACTTTTATTCAAGTAAAGAAGAGTTAATTAAACATGACAACACATTTTAAAGCATTTTGTTGCATCATTTTACCTAAATTGTGCGTTTAAAATGGCTGACAATAACTTTGGCTAATTTTGGTTTTCGTTGTTTTCTTTGCTTTGTTTACTTTTCGCTCGTTTTCCAGTGAAACAAGATGGCGTAGAACCCGCTAAAAAAATGGACTTTTTTCACTCTCTTGTTCTTACGTGATCTTGTGTCTTTCGTTCATGGAACGAACTGTGAATACCCCAAGAGATGCCCTCTGGGCAGAATTTAAGGCGAATTAATATAAGGTGGTGTTACTAGCTCAGCTGGTTTTGTGTATGTGTTTCGCGGCACGGCTTCTGATACCAAATTGAAAAATTTTGTTTGAATTTCTACACACACTCTTACAGATTTTGACAGTTTATGCCGCCAAAGCAAAAACAAAATACATGTAAATTTTTGTTTTTGTACTCCTGCTACACCTTATATTAATACGCCTTGGCAGAATTGTCATGAACCAAAAATACAAGATCACGTAAGAACGCGACGTTGTATTTGCAACTGGTTTTGAGAAAAAGGTTTGGGAAAGCGGGTTCGTCAGCTGAGCGTTTGTTTACATCACAAGCACCACTATTTTACACTTTTATTCAAGTAAAGAAAAGTTAATTCAACATGACAACACATTTTAAAGCATTCCATGAACGAAAGACACAAGATCACGTAAGAACAAGAGAGTGAAAAAAGTCGATTTTTTTAGCGGGTTCTACGCCATCTTGTTTTACTGGAAAACGAGCGAAAAGTAAACAAAGCAAAGAAAACAACAAAAACCAAAATTAGCCAAAACTATTGTCAGCCACTTTAAACGCACAATTTAGGTAAAATGATGCATCAAAATGCTTTAAAATGTGTTGTCATGTTGAATTAACTCTTCTTTACTTGAATAAAAGTGTAAAATAGTGGTGCTTGTGATGTAAACAAACGCTCAGCTGACGAACCCGCTTTCGCAAACTTTTTTCTCAAAACCAGTTACAAATACAACGTCGCGTTCTTACGTGATCTTGTATTTTTGGTTCATGGTGTCTTTCGTTATGAGAATTGTTCCAGTGTGAAAACGACCATTCACAATTAAAACGATATGTTTATGACATTTCTAATATAAATGAAAATTAGTCATCGTGGTTCATTTTTGATAGTTTTAAATATTTAGAATGGCTTATAGTTCTCAATCATCAATGCCTGGTCAACAATTTTTGTGGGACGTTTTTCAAAAGTAAGATATAATCACAAATTAAATATGTATTTGCTTGCCGACACTGCTTTCAGAGTCGACAAAGATCGAAGTGGACATATATCGGCAGACGAGTTACAAATAGCTCTCTCGAATGGTACTTGGAGCCCATTCAATCCAGAAACAGTACGTTTAATGATTGGTATGTTTGATCGTGAAAATCGTGGAACGGTTTCATTTCAAGATTTTGGAGCTCTATGGAAATATGTTACTGATTGGCAGGATTGCTTTCGTTCTTTCGACCGGGACAATTCCGGAAATATTGACCAAGAAGAATTAAAAACAGCATTGTCTTCGTTTGGATATCGGTTGTCAGATAATCTGGTAGACACTTTGATTCGTAAATTCGACCGGTTCGGAAGGAGAACTATACTTTTCGACGACTTTATACAATGTTGCATAGTTCTATATGTGAGTAATTTATCCGGGAAATGTTTAGTAGCGCTCACATCGTTTTTGGGTGGTTGCGGAGGGGGAGGGAGCGGGGCCGCCAAACCCTCCCCACTAGAAAGGGGACAGTCCCCGCTTTGTAAAAAGGCGTACCCCCATTGAGCTCTTCCCGCAGGCCCCTAGCGAGCCGTTTGGAAAAGGGAAAAACGGAATTTTCTTTGGCAAACAGCAGTTTGAAGTGGAATATGACCCAACTAACAGAAACCGTGGGATTTTTTAATAAAAGAAATTATGCCAAATTAGATATCGGGCGATTTTGAATAAAGGGCGTGTGTGAATCGGTAACAAAGTTCTATGGGGAAAGCTGTTGAATAATATTTTTACTATGGTGAGACAATTTTGCCAATCCAATGATGACCGCAGATTTATGCAGAATAAAATATTCCAAATTGAAGTGAAATTAATATTTTAAGAAAACATCTACCATAGTTGTTTGCAATTCATCAGCTTAAACTTTTATTTAACGAAAAATTACACACATCAACAATCTATGCGATTGTCAAAATTTTTCATGCATTTGTCAAAAATTTCACTAGCCTCATGAGCTACTGAAATTTTATTCACCTCATAGTTTTCAAAAATTTACTCGCCGCGAACTTTGTTACCGATTCATACACGCTCAAAGAATAAAAAAGTTATATAAAAATAGAAAAAAACAAGTTTTTATAAAAAAAGTGTATTTTTAACAAATGTATTTTTGTGTAGAATTCCTTTCTGCGTAGGCGGCCTTCGGCCGCACTTAGGGATTATAGCCCTCAGGCAGTAGAATTCTCCTTTCTGTGTTGCCAAAGAAGGGGGGCTGAACACCTTTTGCAGAGAACACGTTTCTGCGTAGGCGGCCTTCGGCCGCACTTAGGGATTATAACTTTCAGGCAGTAGAATTCTCCTGTCTGTTTTTCGAAGAAAAGGAGCTGAACACCTTTTGCAGAGAACACCTTTGTGTATTTTTATTGCTTATTGGGTTATATCCTACCTTCTTTTGTCTCATTGGTCGCGTTCATAAGACGAAGCTGTTTAGCTCATCTGCTACGGAACTGCTGGCTACTGTTGAACCCAACAATTACGTCTTAGAAACGGCTTGATGAATATGCTGCCAAATATACAGCTGATAAATGTAAACAAATGAAATTGCAACAAATAGAGATATTTGCGGCGATACTATTTAGAATTCAACGCTGAGCGGCCGCCGTGTTGAAAAAATCGTTCAATGTTACAATGAATTAAACAGTGTAAAATTATATAGCAAACATCTTAAAAACATATATTTAGAAACGTAGTATTATTATAAAATATTTTAGTTACTTTATCATATCAGTAATATAAAATAGAATACATTTATTTGCAGCTGCCCCCTAACAACGCGGCGTAAGTATTTTCGATCAGTTGTTTAGGCTAAGCCCAACACGTTGAGTTCAGGTAGCGTAAACATTTTCGGGTGGAAAAAATGGCGGAAAGTTGCCAACTGTTGGGCTGAGCGTAACTACTCAACTGTGCGTTTCTAAGACAAACAGCCAACGGTTACCCAACAACTACGACTTATGAACGCGAATATTCTTTTGCATGGTGAAATAATAACAAGGTGTTGTCATTATCGACGTGTTTGTTGTAATTTTGGCAAGATCGGCATGCTTATTTTCAGTGCTGCCGATCTTAATTTTTATACTACTATTCGTTGGGAAATACTATCTAAAATACTCAATTTTAGTATTTCGTTTTAACGCGATTTTTAAAGAACTTGGTGTTTTCAGAACGATATTAATATTTAAAATGCTGGGTTTGTATAATTTGTGTCCTCAAAATATAAAATATAACAGATATCGTGGTGATCAATGGAAAAAGACGTACACTCGTGTCATAATATCTAGCCAGATGGACTACTGATACACTAGAATAGAGCGGCAGTTTGGTTAAATTACGATTTCGCTTTTATTAGATATTTATGTGTTTTAATCTATTTCAAAAACTATTTACAGCCTTATAGGAAATTGCTTTATTTTACGGCCTTTCCTTTTTTTATAAGTTACAATATATGTCCAAGCTGTGTGGAGCTGACGATACAAACATATATTCAGGCTTATAAGCCTGTAATTATACATTTTTCTACATTTAATTTGAAATAGTATGCACAAACGGATTAAAAGTAGTAAATAATTAGCATCTTTTCTAATACTTTAAAATGCGTGACCGGAATAGACCTGCCGAAAAAGTGAGGTTAAGTTACTGACAACACCTTGTTATTAGGTTCTTTCCCTAACAATCCGGGTCGGATCCGGTAATTAGAGAATAAAGGCCTGTATGCAGCTCTCAAGAAAAGCAAAAACTCCATATAAAATGACGCACAAGAAATGGCTAAGGAATTTTCTTTAGTCAAATTTCCTTAAGGCAGTACGCAGTTCTTAAGAAATTTACTACGCTTTCTATTACGGTTTTCTAAAGGTTTTTGTAAAAAAAGAGCACAAGGCAACCCACGTTTGCAACAGAAATATATGCCCGTTCCATTATTTCTTGAGGAAAGAGTGAGGCAACAGGCTGTGAAGTATCAAAAATGTCAAAATTCCTTGGACACACACACGAAATAATGTCAATTTTTTCTTGATCGTTTTCTTGAGAAAGCGAAAAGTTTGCTCTCAAAAATGGAACATAATCCAGAAGTACGGGAACGCAAAAAACCACATTTCGTGCCCAGAATTTAAGAAACAGCTTATTCGCGGTATGTTTGTTTTTGTCACTTAAATGCAAACTCTTGAAAATTGAATTTTTGTTTCCCAAATTTGATTTTAAGAATATAAAGATTGAAAATGCATTCACTATTCCTTAAAAGCCCCAAGTAAATGCAGGCAACATGTAAACTCAAAACAGCTGATATGCACTTTGACGCCTTATCCATTTTACAGGCTAACCTAATATTCACGCACGCCGCCAATTTACTGTCAAAAATTTCTCATGCACATACAACTTGTATGGGACCAACCGAAATTGAACGGTGTGCGTATGAAGCTAACTCAGTTTCCAATTTTTGTTCTGCGTGACATTTTGATTTGACGTTTCGCTCAATGAAATCAAATGCAAACGCACGCAAGCCAATTTCGGGTGACGCAAAAAAACAAATTCGACGGCGTGCGTACCAAAACGCAAGCCGCGAATATTAGGTTAGCCTGTTAACCGGAGAAAAAGTCCGGGCTGTTTCGGGCAGGAAGAAGAAGACACTTACGATCCAATACGTTCCAATTTTCGGTCTCTACTACCCATTTTGTTGAGTACGGGAATGATTTCTGGGCTATTTTGCGTACGGGAAAGAACCTATTATTACTCCATGATTCTTTTGCATATTTCGGAGATTGACAGCTGAACTCCGCCATTTAATTTGCATATGCAACCAAAGTCAGACGCGTGCTTTTGAAGGTGTTTTTCTTAAAAGAATTGTGATTAATTGGTAATTATTAAAGTCGTAAAGCAAGTTATAACTAATCGATTGAAGTGTAAAGTGAAGGGGAATACAAAAATGTATTGGTGAAGTGGCTGCTTTAAGGAGTATAGGAGTGATAAATGTACGCTAATTTCCGAATTTTACAAAAAAGGGCATATTTCAAACCCAAATTGTAAATAAATTAGTGACCAAAATTTACAAAAGAGTGTTAAAATAATGCGTAGACCCTTGACTATAAGTGTGTGGAATTTTTTTTGGATCGGGCGACCCCTTTGGACGGAATAGCCCGAAATAGTTGTGAGCGCTACTAAACCCCACCCATTTATCCTGTAAAATTTTCCTTCTAAGTTTTGGTTGTAAATTTCAGACCCTAACATCGGCTTTCAGGCAACACGATACAGACATGGATGGGGTTATTACTATACATTACGAACAATTTCTCAGTATGGTATTTTCTTTAAAAATATGAGCTTTAGAAACCATATCTTTTAAATGCATTTTAACTTTCCATTGAATTTAAAGTATAGAGCTTGTCTCTTCTTTACAGTACCTGCATGGCGAAACCTGCGCCACAGTATACTAGTAAAAAGGTTTTTGTTGTAACTGTCTTGGCGTAAATGCAGAATACTAACAGCCAATTTCACGAAAGCAATTTAACCGCTCTATTCAGTTTAAATTTGTCAGTAACCGATACATAATTGAACTATAAGTTAAAAATTATATATATATTTTTTTTTAATTTTTAATAGAAATTGACTGACAGAAATTAGAAATCATTTTCCGTTTAAATTGCTGGTGAAACCGGCAGTTGCAATTCTAAAATAAAAAAAATGTATATGGGGATTGATAGAGATCACTGAGGTGAGCTTAGCGGCATATTTTTTTTTGGGATACAACTACAAGAGTTATTAAAGGTCAAAGTTCAAATTAAACATTCTTTTATATCAAAAATTTTCAAAAACACCATAATTTTTTGTACATATGTTATATATACGGTTACCAGATATCTGTGGCCAAAAAGCTGGGTATTTCTAAAGCATAATCCGAACCTACAATATTGTTTCTGGAATAAAAAGACATAACATTTTACATGGGTGAGACTTCCGGTGAAAGCAAGGTGGCGCACAGGCATGGTGGCGAACCCGGTCTAGCTCGTCGGATGGGTGGTCTTTACCAGCTGCCTTACCTACACCCACATCAACAAAATTTTACAATCATGCCTGATTACTGTAGTAAAAGAAAAAAAAGTCGAAGCACAGGAGATGAAGGAAAAATACACAGCATGAAGTCCCGTCCTGTCAGGTGGAGTCGTCCCTCCCCTTCTACGTGCAACATACGCGTAGCCATGGGTATTGCTGCGACTGCCGCTACCTAACAACACCCCCTAAGCCTGACAAAGTCCGTTGGTCACTAGTCCATACGTCAACTACCCGTCTAGTCTATCGTCAACACCCACTTGCCCCTTCTTCTACCTAATTGTAAGACCCACACCAACTTAAGACGTTAAGCATTCCATTATAATGCCTATGTGCATTACCTCAAATAACTGCATAAGTATAAGACATTATTTTCACTATTTTTTCCCCTCTATTATACAATTTTTAAATCTACAATTCAGTGAGTCGATTAACCTAACTTTAACACTACGTTTGTTCTTTATCAAACAAAAATTCAAATAAAAACTTCGCCTTAATCTCACACGGTTTTGAATATCCGCCTTAGCGGAGTAAAAGTAGTTATATGTGTACTAAAAACTAAATTCAGGTTATTCACTTCAAACTCTATACGCTATAGATATTTAATCTAATAAAAGGCCTGGAATATTAACTAAAAAGACTCCTGCATATTAATCTTATATTTCAATAACAAATTAGCCTTAATACTATTCATTTATGATTAGGTTTCCTTTTATTTATTATTTTTTTATTTTATTTTTTCTTATTCGCCAAAAAAAAAACTAGTTGGAACTACCCTAATATTCTGTTTCTGCACACACGTACAGACAAATGTAGCTTAAAAAATGCCTCTCAAAACCGGCTTGAATCAAATCAACGCAAAAAAAAAATAAAAAAAATGTGTAATGAGTTCATTGTCGACCGTCGCCGCGAGTGCCTGCCTGCCTACCGTTCCACGTAGTACTTACTATATTTAGGAAGTCCACTGTGTATTTATTAAAGTTAATTAAATAAAGTTATAAAGCTCAAAAACCCACTCGCCAGAGGCAAGGCAGCGGTAACGGTAGCTAAGTCCCGCATATATATACATAAGTAGTTATATAAGCCGGCACAGGCGCAATAACGCCAAGTCGATACTTCGTTGGCAGAGACGACAAGAGAGCTGAACAGCGCTATAGCTGCGCAAACAAAGCGGCGAAATATTCGAAGCTGTATGAAAACAGAAGAGTTCGACTGAGTTGAACTACTACGCAGAAGTAGTTGCATTGCAGAGTACGGAGTCGAAGTTGTGTCCGAAGCTGCAACAGGAGCAGTCAAAGTTGTTGCAGTGAACCTGCATTGGGTGTTGGGTCGATGTAGTAGCCAAGTAGTGGCTGGAAAAGCAGGAAGTTGGTGGTGAAGTGGAGGTTGCAGTTGGAGGTTGGAAGAGGAGCAGAGGTCGAACAAATCAACGCCTTTCATACAGGCTAGCAGCACAGTGGAGCGAAGCTAAGTAAAATTAATTTGAAATTGTTTAGTTAGTAGACGCTTTTATATTTCATATATGTATTCATTGTATTGATCACTAAATCAATTAATCAAATGTACCTTGTATGTTAGTGTAAAACAATTCTTTTTTCATATTTTGGGATTACCAACACAACGCAAAATTGCGAAAATTTTAAACAAAAGAGCATATGTAAATTTTTATATTGTCGACGGTGCGGTATATTCCGTATCGGTTTAGCTGTGTATTTTGAGATTTTGAAAAAAAAACATTTAATAACAAAATATAAAATTTGTAAACCCAATATTTAGAAGTATCATACGGTACAGGTATATCGGCGGCACAATATTTTATCGGAAAATCTAACTAATTTTGTAAAGCATTTTATTTTGACAATGGAGAGACAAAAAGTTTTAGAACTGAACGTAGCCGGACTGAAACAGAAATTGGTAGAGTTAGGACTGGCCACTACAGGACGGAAAGTTACCTTACAGGACCGACTCCCAGAACATTTCGGTCTGAACGCTGACAGCGAGGATGATGGCGCGAGCACTGACGGTGATGCGGCTTCGGTATAAGATAACGCTGGCTCGTCTCCATCAAGGGCAGTACCTAGCAGCTTACACAGCCGTACTCCTTTTACATTACGCGATATAGAAGACTCGTTGACGTCATTTAGTGGGTCGGGTTCGCCGCAAATTGAGGAATGGCTTGAAGATTTTCAGCAAAATGCCATCGCAGTTCACTGGAACGAGCTCCAGAAATTTATATACGCGAAGCAGCTAATGAAAGGGGCTGCCAGAGTTTTTATACGTAGTCAGCGTGATGTCACGGATTGGAAGTCGGTGATGCAAGCACTTAGGTCCGAGTTTGGGACCAAAGTATCCTCGATAGAAGTGCATCGTACGTTAAGGAATCGCCGGAAATGCTGTAATGAAGATCTTGAGATAATATTAATATTCCTTAATGGAGATCGGGAAACCGATAAGGCTAGACGACATGAGCCTTATCGAGTATTTTATCGAAGGTATCCCCGGCTCCAGGCTAAATAAAGTTAATTTATATCAAGCGAAGTCCACAGCAGAACTCAAGGAGTAGATTCGCGTGTATAAGATGGTAGGGTCCAGTCGCCAACAATCAACATGGAGAGTCACCACGCCAATACGCTAGGGGATGAGCTATGGGGTAGGCTAGGCAAAGCTGGTAGGTGCATCTTCGAGGACGTGACGCGTGGCCATACGACATTCTCTGCTTTAGTTGATACAGAGTGTGACCTCTGCTTAATACGCTACGACACTGCTTATGTTTGACGACGATATTGAGTTGGGCAAAGATCAACGCCACATGGTCGGAGTATTTATTTATTTATTTATTTATTTTTTTACAGTCTGTTAGACTTATATTGCAACAAAGATTTAACATTCTTATAATTAGATTTTAGATTTAAAATGTAAATATTAAATATTAAATACAAAATACAAAATGCTCTACAGAAATTTCTAAATAACATTATATCTTTATCACTGCAATTATTTTATGTCAATATAATATATATATATAATATTGCAATTTCCTGGAAGTTATGTAGACGGTTGGAAAGGCCGAGTTTCCAATCCGCGCTATTCTTTTTGGGTAACTCCATTTATTGATATCTCCTGGGTGGTCAGAAAGGCCGAGTTTCCGATCCACCCAGTCGCGCTTTCGTGACGGTTGACGGTTGGAAAGGCCTAGTTTCCAATCCGCTCGTTTACTGTTTATTATCTAAGGGTCTACGTAGTCGGAAAGGCCGTGTTTCCGATCCGCCTAGTCTCGATATCTTGGTGGTTGGAAAGGCCTAGTTTCCAATCCACGCTATTGTTGATACATCACTATCTTGTAGGCTTGAAAAGAGTGATAGTATCACAATTTTTTATAGCCTCTGGTAATTCATTGAAGCACTTTAAGCCTTTATAGAAAATATTTTTTTTGTCCACTTCTGTTCTATACTTCGGGAGTCTGAAGCTGTTATTCTCTTTCAACAAATATGTATGCGTCTCATTTATATATCGGAGATTATCGCTAAGATAATCCGGCAGGTTGCCCTTTTTAATATTGTACACAAATTTCATAGCGTGGTAAAAAAACTTGTTGCTTCACGCTTAACCAATTCAAGGTTTCAAGCATACATCTTGTTGGTGTGTCATACGGTTTGTTGAGGATGAATCTCATCGCTCGGTTTTGCATTTTTTGCAGCTTATCTACATGGGAGTCCTCCGCTAGGAAGAAAATCGTGGGGCAGTATATAAAGTGCGGTTCTACTATTGACCTGTACACCAACGTTTTATATCTTCCCAAGTACTCACACGATCTCTTTATAAGGCCAATTTTTTTAGCAATCTTGTTGACTGTATACTCAACGTGCTCATCAAACTTTAGTTTGATATTCCTAGGTACTTGACAATTTTCACCTCTTCGATATTTTCATCTTTGATTTTTAATTCACGGCTTATGGAGTCAGCATTTGCCGCTCTGGAAAATACCATAAAGTTAGTCTTTTTCACATTCAGTTTGAGTTTATTTGAACACAGCCATTGATACAAAGAATTAAGATCTTCTTGCATTTTGACAATGGCATTTGGTAGTTCCCTATCACTGTTCGTTAACAAGGCATCATCCGCAAAGAGTTTTATTTTACAATGTTTGAGAGAACTTTTAATATCGTTTATATATATATTAAAGAGTAGGGGTGCCAAAACTGAGCCCTGTGGTAATCCGATGTCTACGGCTATCTTACTAGACATCTTTGAATTAACTATTGTTTGTTGCCTACGATTACATAGAAAGCTTCTAAACCAGTCAAGCTCAGTGTTTTTTATACCAATGTATTTTAGTTTATCCAACATTCGGACCCTATCAACGGTTTCAAATGCTCTTTTAAGATCAATAAACACTGCCACTACATTAAGGTGTCTGTTCAGATCTTCTTTCCATTGAGAAAGCACCAGATTCAGCGCAGTCTCACAGGAATGTTTAGCTCTGAATCCAGATTGTTCTTTTATGAGTATTTTATTGGATTCCACATAGTACTGTAGCTGGTTTTTCACAACGGTTTCTAGAATTTTTTCCAAGCTAGGGAGAGTATTGATGGGCCTAAGCTCCTCAGCTTTAACCGTTTTTCTAACTTTCTTGACGGGCACTATTGATGAAATTTTCCATTCTTCCGGTACTGACCCTGTCTGGAGACTCTTATTTATAAGTAGGGCATAGAAATATCCCATATAATCAGCAGAGT